ATCAAACCAGCCGTTTCGGTGCTACAGGATTTTAGAATCCGACGTTCGGAGCGAGTCGAGAGTATGTAGCGTGCTCGATCGCATCAACCTCCATTGGTTCAGGATATTTAGTGGGGGGTAGAATGTTGCATACGCGAGGCGATGATATCATAGTCGCGCAACGCGAAGTAAACGTCTCTTCAAGCGACGTAGAAAGCTTCCGCGTTAAATAAAAACGCTGATTCTCAGCGTTCATTCTCGTGACGAACACGTAGACTTGCGTCCCCGTATCGACTGAATTAGTGAAGTTGCAGGACGCCAGATGTCATGCTTGCTGGATATAATCCAGTATAGGCAACCTTGCTTCAGTGCCAAGAAAGCCGAGCGGTCATGGTGCTCATCCTGCGGAGACTCAAACGCCAGGCGTAGGTCTTCCTTGAGGGCCTTTATATCCGGGAAACATCCCGGGTCGGCCACAAGCTTGACCAGCGCCCACACTTTTGCCTTGCCTGTCAACTTGGACAAGAGAAAGTGGGTGCGTGCAAAGTCTGAATTAAGCTGACGGGCTTGGACAGCGATGTCTACCTCACAAAGCCATCGATTGAGTGCAAGGCGCTTCGTGCTTTCGCTGCTATAGCACGAGACGTCGAGTTTGACGACGTAAGACCCTGTGAAAACCGCGGGATTTAAGGCTCTCCGACGCAAATCGGCGAGTTCGCGGTTGACAAAGTCCTGGATGGCTACACGATGTAGCCGCTCAGGCATGTTCTTAAGCATGGCGACAACGGTATACCACTAGGCGACGAATGGCTTCCCACTCGAAAGAGATCAGATGCTGGAAGTCATCATGATCCAGCATCCCTCCCTCAGCGCCCTGGATAGGCAGAGCGCTCATCTTCGTAGAAACTCTACAAAGTAACAATCAAGGACCCGTTACGTGACTTACACGATAGGGATTACAAAGAACCGTTAAGAAACACGCGTTATTATAAACGCGTGTTTAGTTAATACCAAATTTAACTCTGTTTTTGTATTTATATTTTATTCTAAGCACAAGGGGTCTCCAAATGTCTGAGAGCCACTCAATATAAAGGTCACATCCTATTGGACGACCATGGGCCTGGTTTTCACCAATCAACAAATGCTGTCCCGCTATATCGGGTACAGCGTATACCTAATCATGTAATATATGTACTTAGCTAAGTCAACTTATGACAGAGACTGCTAGGTCGTACCTAGCAGGATGTGTATGGTGCACGCTGTTACAGTTTTCAGACGATTGAATGTTGCAGGTGCGTTAGACAGCCCGTATGGCATCACTAGCCACTCTCAGAGCATACAGATCGGAGTACTACCCGCTGTCAGCGGGATATCACTAGCTCGCATGAGCAGTGGGTAATATCCATCGACTAAGTCGAAGTCACTGTACATCGTACATCCCACCATATTGTTCTGAAGAACGTCCTTGCGAGGAATCGGTGTTTGAGCCGGGATAGTGGCTGCATTTAGCTTATTGTAAGCATGCACTATTCGCGGCTTCCCATTAAGCGTTTTCACACAAAACGTGGGCGTAGAGTGAGGAGACCTACTCTCACGCACCATGCCAGTCGCATGCTTCGCACGAAAAAACTCGTCAATGACGTCACATTGTTCTCGTGGCAGCGGTCACTGTCGCGTCACACAGAAGTTCGTTCCTGGAACCAAGTCAATTTCATGACGTGCGCCTCTATCCGGAGGCAACCTCGTCGGAGGTTCTCTGGAGACAACATCCCCATGTTCCTTTAACAAAGGAAAATAAGGATCCGAATGGGTCCTTCAGGATGTGTGATACACTACGCGCATTCAGCGCCTTCTCGGTATCCTCAAGAAAAGCTTTATCCAAAAGCGATGAGGAGGTCAACTCCTCCTCAGGTCGTATAATCGACCACTTCGGCGATGTCGCCTGCCTGTAAGGCAATGCCAAACTCGGCAAAGGACAACTCGTCTGCTCTAACATAGCACTTACTTCGGATATAGCTGAAAGAGTCACCGGCTCTTCAACATCCCCAGTTAAACCATTGACGAGTGTATATAGCTGTTCGCTATCACTGTCACTCACGACATCCTCATCGCTACTCATGATGCTCGAAGCATCTGACGTATCAGCGTCCACAGGTGTCCACACCTCAAGGTCAAAGACCACTTCGTTTAGGACTGCGCCTCACCCTCTTGGGTCAATGCCTCGTCATGAGGTGCTTGCACCTCGTTGTCCTCAAAGGCAAACGTCATGCTAGTCTTCACCCGACCCTCTTGGACCAGTACCTTGTCATGAGGTGCATGCACCTCTTTATACTCAAAGATAACATCCATTGATGACTTCACCCGACCCTCCAGGGCCAGTACCTCGTCGTTAGGTGCATGCACCTCGTTGTACCCAAAGCCAACATCCATTTGTGACTTCACCCGGCCCTCCAGGGTCAGTTCCTTGTCTTTCAGGTCACTTGGACTCATGTCCTGACATCTTGGCTTGCAGCCACCAATACTACTCACGGTGTTTAATGATGTAACATCATTCTCATGACACATGTCATATGTGCCATCTAGTGGGTTCTCAACCACACTATCGACAGTCCTTGGGCCTCGCCCAGGACTATTGTCCTCGACACTCACAGTGTCTACAAAGTCGGATATTCCGACATCCAGCTTATTGACGGACTCGGTCCAGTATTCGCGCCACAAGCGCTTTTGCTTTCTACCAGAGGTGGATTCATGACTATCCAGATCCCCACCAGCAGCATTACGCGTAGCGCCTAAAGTCTTTGACCTCCAATCAATACATGGCTAATGGCGTTCTAGCCATGCCATTCCTAGGATGAGGTCATACCTCGCATCCAGGTCTAAGTCCAAGCAGCGTTCCATGCTATTAAAGTCCAAGAACTTTACATTCAAGTCCATCGGGACTTTGGGTACCGTAACACGCGTACCCGTCGCTAAGCGAAGTGTGACTGTGTCACTTTTATGGTCTCTAAGCGCTTCAGCATATTGCTGCCTAACTTCCACGGTGTCACGGCGCACATGATTGCCCGATGCCCCAAATCGAGCAAAATGATCCATGGCTTATCATAGCCCTTAATCGTCCCTTCGACGACTAGCAAGCATGGCTTGCATTCTCGTTCCGTTTTTGAGAGCTCGGATCTCTTTGAGGCTGGGCCCTGCTTACTTCTACCTCCTAGAGGTTCAACAGAACTCAGTTTTTCTCCAGTAGGGCGCCCCGCGCCGTCTGTGCTCCGCCGTTTCCCCGCGGCAAACCAGAGGGTTTACCCATGGGTCGCCGGCCCTTCGAGGTCAAACATGCCTTTCTTGTAGGACATTTTGTCATCAAATGGCCTGTGCTCTTGCAGATATAACATCTGCGTACAATTTGCTGCTCCGCAGCTTGAAGCTCAGCTTCTTCATCTTCCACTTGACTACAGTCCATGGGAACAGACCCATCAGACGAGTAGTTATAAGTGGCAGGCCTAGCGGCCTTAGCGTTGGTCGTCATTCCATGCCACTCCATCAGCTTCCTCGAATGAGGACGGGTTTACCCGGAAGAATCGTTCTGGCAACGCCAACTCGGAGGCCCTCCATAAAGACCGTGACGGTCACTGCCTCGGGCATAGGGTCTATGACCATGGCAGCAATGAGAGTTCTCAACTCTTGTACATATGCCGCAAGTTCACGCTTGCCTTGGCGACACGCCAAAACCGCAACCGATTACGGTGTGCTTGGTTTGGCGGTGCATACTGCCGGGTCATCTGAACTTTCAGATCGGCCCATGTTGGGAATGTATCTTGCAATAATGCACCGCATGTGAATGCCCATTACTTGGCTAATCCACTCAGCTTGCCCGTGGCAAAGCCCACACGGTACGGTCCATAGGTGATGTCGACTATAAACATAGCAGACTCAACCTGTCGGAACCAAAGCATAAGGTGATCGCCTTTTTGCCGTCGAACTTATCGGCTTACATTTGTATGGGTTTTGGTCTGCGGACCACTTCCTGCGCCATAGTCGCCATGGGCGTAGGCGCAGAAGAAGTCATCTGTGCCTTTATATGCTCGACTAGAGCTTTATTATATTCATCAAGCATATGAATACGCTTGTTAATCTCTTCTTCGCCCTGGGCGATGAGGTATTCCACGCCCGTAGGGCCAAGTATAGATAGCAACTTCTGCAACCCTTCCTGTTGTGCCTGTGACAGGCCAACCGCTGACATCTCATCGATGTCCATTCTTACACAGAGAAGTAGTCGCAAACCCAGGTGCAAGATTGACTACAAGTGCTACCAGGTTTAGCAGGGCCTCTTGTAGCAAAGCTACTTACGCACCAGGTAGAGGAAGACAGGCTCAAAAAGCTTCTACGTCTTAGGGTTCTTAACCCTCTCAAAGCTAGCTTCACAAGCTTATGCCTTTTTGGCTGTAAACAACGACATCTCCAAGAGACTAGTATCCCATATACTATTTCCTCTCACAAAGGAATAGAGCTGTAACAGCGAATGCCATACAGAGCAGGTATAAACTAATTATATATGGCTTATCACATCTAGCAGCAATATAGAAACACTTACTCTGTACTTAGTGCTAGTCACTATTTATCTGGCTCTGTAGCCTTTTTGATTTTTACAAGGTATGTATTCATAATACTTAAACTAAGTATAATGACCACGACGATGCGACCCTTCGTACCTTAGGTACGGTCACATCAAGGTCCTCCCGTGCGACCTTCTTTGGTTAATAATATTTATAGATGTAGATAGATTGTGCAGGACTATCAATGAACACAGACCATCTGTGATGTGCGATCCGTTTTAGTTTGTATAATCCAAAGTTGACAAGCACTACATGGTTCACAACGTTGATTCGAACCAGTTGCAATTCGAAACTTGACTACCCGTCCTCCAAAACGCGCGCTATAGCAAGCACTGAAACATCTAGTTCGTCCTCTGCACCAATACGAGCTTCAAGAACGGCACAACTTAATACCCGCGCTAAACAACTTCGTCATGTCACGCCACTTCCACCTATCGGATAATTTTGCACGCGTACGTAAGCCAAAGTCAACAATAGCACAAGATTTTTGTCCCGCACTAGGAAGTTTACCATCGGAAAGAACCACGAGCAAATTACAATTTACATCAAAAGTCATTGCGTCGATAGGACTTGATCTAGAGCCGCACATTGATACTTTCTACGCAATAAAAAAAACTTGTCAGCTCCACAATCTTCAAATATGTTTCAAAAACGCTTTCATGCACCTCAATTCCATTCAATCGTCTTGATTCTTCACGCCTGCCATATAAATGCGGCATGATACCAAGAATCATGTACTTCTGTGACTGGAAGCGATGTATCTGAAAGTGTATGACACCAATGCAACGTAGGTTACCATGCGGTTAGAAGTAGTAGGGCTTTTGTCACACTACAATCGCAAATACTTGTGCATTTCGTCTTACCAGCATACAAAATGTAGCGTTCTCTATCAGCTGACCAACGTTCTGGAATTGCACATGGCTCAAAATCACACTCGAAACATCCTTGTTGTTTTCAAACAGCTTTTGTTCAAAGTCTGCCAACCTTTGATCCCCCAATCGCAACAGAGTCCCTGCAACGTCACTACCACTAGATTATGGGAGTCATTCCAACAACCGACGACCTATTCTCGAATGCTTCAACCTTCAGACTGTACTGCAATGAACACAAAAGACCACGAATATCACACTAACAGGAACCAGATAATTACACTCAAGACGTATTAAACATACCTGTCCGAGTCATGTGTATGCATCACCTCGTGTCCAAATAATAGTGTTTCATTGCTCTTATAGTAAGATAATACACCTGCATCTTCAATTGCTACAAACTTTCCACACGCACTTAACGCTATCGCCAGCACTTTTTGCGTCGTGTAAATTGTTGTATAATCTTTTGTTCTTGTTTCGTCAGCATGAAAGACGTCTTGAACTTCAACCTGTGTCCTACTGTTGATTAGAATCGCACTCACTCTTGATTCCTTGAGCAGTAATCCATGGAGCGTTATAGTCCAGAATGACACTTTCAAGCTCTTGTGTAGACGAAAAATTCAAGACTTGACTAGACGAGATCTCACACAAGAGAGACGCTGTCAATTCCATTTGTGCCTTTCTTATATTGTCTTCATGATCCTTGACTATATTCTGATATTACGTAGAATGAATACAAAACGTTAGCATCAATTCCATATTGAGTAAGTTCTTAGCCATATGAAGATCAAAAAGTACCATCATAATCAATGCTAGTACACGTACGTAGACGAATAACAACTGCTGCATTTTCTAATCAGCTTCTACAATAAGGTTACAAAATATTATAGGACTGTATTATATAGATAGAACACCTGCTGCTAGTGTTCATCCATGATGACGCATCGCTTTGTTTTTAGCAGCATTGTTAGCATTTAAATGTTTGCTTTTCAGGAAATCAAGGTAGCCATTGACAATACCATTTCCCTTTATTACTATATATCACATGTTCAGCCAACACATTAATAAGGGATTGTGTTTCAATTTTCGATGCAGCCCATTTGTCGAACTCTGGGTCAAGGGTCCTTGTTCCTTGTCGTTAACCTTCGCTACGGCACTTTCCACGAGTTTTTTCAGTTCTCTGTCTCTGCTTCCTTCAATTTCTTTGCAACTTCCTCCGTTTTGGCCAATTCTGCTGCAATTTTTGCATTCGTCCCTGCAACACTCAATGCCTCTATCAATTCCTTGAAACTTTCCCTTTCCTTAGAAGCCCTTAGGTTCGACCAAAAATAGCTTCGTTCTTGCTTTGATGCTTCGTCATCATCTTTTTCATCGGCACTGTCTGCGTTCAGCAGTCGCACAGACTTTTGACCATCAACGGTCCGTGCATCACGGGATTCAGTAGCATCTAGCAGTGCTACATTTTAGTTCAAACGTTGGTGTAAACTTGTATTTTCACAATATACGAGGTAAGTGAACGCTGCCGACATGAGTAGAAAGCGTGGTAAATGCATACTTGGACACATGAGAGAGTAAATATCGAAATGACAAGTGATAGATAGTGGATTCATGACCTGCATTCAGAGACTGATTTCTGATGATGAAAGAGCCGCTCGTTCATAGACTTCAAGTATTACATAGATTGGCAACATTTTGATGACACGTGCAGTCAATTAGGGTGCTAATGTGCTGAGCTTCAATACTCCCACTGACAGTCTCTTAGAAACTTACCAAAATATGTTACGCTACTATTTCTATACCGTTCGCAGATCATTTCTTCCTCCAAGATACAGATTGAGCGATTGTGTAGCGACGACTGAAATTACACACATCCTTGTCTTATTAACTTGGAACTACTATGTACGCTACCCAGTTGTCATCAAGCGTTTGGCTAATGTAAGCGATTTCGTACTATATGTACTACCATCATGCGTACGGAGGTCTACATATTGCCAGCAACAGCACATTTTGATCATTTCATCCAAACTGCACATCTCAGCCACGTAAGAGTATGGTGTGCACTACGACAAGAGCGTAAATGCTAGCCTGAACGGAAGACAGTTTTTTCTCTAGCGTCCCTAGCATCCATAACCACTTTTTTCTGGGTTGCGTTTTGCTTTTGCTCGCAGACGTCTGCCTCTTTTTTTATTAGAATACGTGCTAGACTAGTTTCTGGACTCATCAGCTGACAAGGGAATGGTTGCGCAAGCAAGATTTTATAAACGACGGCTTCGCTATGTATGCCAAAGAAGGCCGAGCAAGTGGTCAGTAAGGAGAAGTTTAGTTATCGGCTGGCGGCGTCCTTGCATTACGCGTCATAATTGCGATGGTCGCACAAGTCAATTTCTAGACCGCGTCAGTAGTGACAAGGATTCGCCCAGTCGTCCAGGTGCTCTGTGGCTCAACGGGCCGCTTGAGCGGCTGCTACGGCATTACGAATGGGCCCGTCCAGGTTTGATGCCGTAGACTCATTGATGGATAAAGTCAAAAGAAGCATATTGTGGTTAACAACCTCCGAGCGTATTTTTCGTCCACGACGTTGTTCACTTAACTCAAGGCATTTCAGGCATCCTGCCAACTATAACGTTGATAAAAGACCGTCTGTTCGTCTTTCTGTATCAATGTAAAATAGAAGAAAATGTGGGTGTGGGTTTTAAAAAAAAAAAAAAAAAATTCCTTCCCACTACTTTATTATTGAATCGGGGAAAAAAAAAGCGCCACCCCAAACCTTTTTTTTCAAAAAAACCCCCCCACCCCCCCCCCACACCAAACAAAAAAAAAAAAAACAATTACAAAAAAAAAAAAATAAAGGAATTAAAAAAAAAAAAAAAAAACATATTTTTTTTTTTTTTTTTTTTTTTAAAAAAATAAAATTTTTTTTTTTGGCGATAGTTTTCTTTTTATACCGGTAATTAATGTCAGTATGCTACCGGTAGAAATAAAATTTGATTGATTTACAAGGGACAGAGACAAAAACATGCGTATGTTGCAACTATTGACATCTTACGTTGCACGAAGCAACGCATCCACATGAACTCTCCTAATGGAGTCGTCGTCTCTCGTGCTTTACGTGGCGGTTCCTACCGCTTCTTGCAGCGTTTAATAACCTTTGCCGCCAATTCATTTGTACTACGTAAGTTACATCTTCATGTGACTGGTACGGTAACGATTCAATTGGAATTAGTATTGGCTTCCATCTTCCTACTCCGCGATGGATTTCGGTTGGCATTTTTACGAATGCCATCGCTTGACTTTAAAGGCCCAAGCAATGAGAAACATATTTATCTACAACAATTAGTAAATGTTGCATGGTTATCAACTGTCGTTAGTTGGATGGTGGCAAGTCTTTTATTTCTCTATATAATGGTTTCAGACACTTTGAAAGATGACGAAACAATGACAGGATATCTGACCGTATTGAGCATGTATTGTTGTGCTGCAATGATTGAAGCATTAGCAGAACCAATGTACGTATTAGCGCATGCTAGTGTGCTAGTGAGTTGGCAAGTGGCGGCTCAAAGTGCTGCGTTTCTGGTCCGAGCAGTGGTTCAGTACATGGGTGTCGTAATGTTAGAGTTAAACTTGATAGCGTACGGGATTGCCGAGTTGTCGTACGCGGTGACGTTGCTCGTGATGTTTATGGTTTTCTACTGGCGGCAAATTTATGTACATTCAAGTGAAAAAGACAAGTTTGCGTTGACGACGATGACTCAGCTACTACCTGGGAAGCCGGACGGAAATGTAGATTGGTATCATGCAGAGTTAATGGTATTGATGGTACCACTGAGTGTACAAAGTGGAGTCAAGTATTTGCTGGCAGAAGGAGATAAGTGGGTGCTGACTGGATTTGCGTCGCTGCAGGCAATGGGGGTGTATGGCCTGGTGTCAAATTTAGGATCGCTCGTGCCGCGAATTGTTTTCTTGCCTATTGAAGAAGCTACCAAAACTGTTTTTAGTAAGCTTGCACTAGCGCAGAAACAGAAGAGCGATCAAAAAAATGACAAGGAGATTAACAACAAAAGCCGAGCCGATGGACAGACACTGCTACTGGTGCTGCTTAAGCTTATAAATTTGGTGGGACTGTTGTTCGTATGCTTTGGAACCAGCTACGCATACACATTAGCAATGCTGTTATACGGAGCTGAGAAGGCTCGTCAGGGTGTGGGTGCTGCATTAGCTGTCTACTGCGCCTACATTCCATTCTTGGGGGTGAATGGGATTTGTGAAGCTGTGGTGCATGCTATTGGAAACGACTACGAGCTTATGCGACTGAACAAGTTGCTCGGTGTATTTTTTGCCATATACGCGCTTAGCGCGCTTGTATTCATGCAGGTACTCGACTGGGGCACTTTTGGTCTCATCCTGGCGAATTGTGTCAATATGGGCTGCCGAATCCTCTACTGTTTGGCATTCTTGGCTTCCTACTTTCGTCAAGTAGCTTGTAAGCGCCAAACGAGCAATGATTTTATCAATGGCTTATCGTTTTGGTGCCAATCTCTACCAGATCGACTTGTGGTGACTGCATTTGTAATCTCGTTGGCAGTGACTTTGACATCTCAGCATGTATTGCTCAATTCCGAGACGGATAGTTCATTGATGTTTCGACATATGGTGCATGTTGCGGTGGGAGCACTTTGCTTTGCTGGAGTAGTACTCATACTCTACGTAAAGGAGTGGTACCTTTTACGTGCTCAATTGACAGCCCTTTGGGGTCAAGGCAAGTCTCATGATGATTAATAATCTGCAGTTCGACAGGTACAAATACCTTCAAGTTCTTTCGCTGTGTCTTAGCTTCAAAGTGTTGCTGCATAAGTTCTATGCGCGCGGCAGCGTGAAGGAGTAAGCAGACCACAAGATTTTCAGCGGCACTTTGTACCAAGCAAGCATGAAACCGAAAGAAGCTAGTCACGCCAAGGCATAGCGATGATGACTAAGTCTTTTAGCATCACTTCTATCACACAGAAGTGTAGGTCTCAATAAACAACGATAAGCACTCACGATCGTCTTCATTTCACTGATCTTGCTTGGCTTCACTGACTTGGAATGCGGAAGCCTTGACATCTTTGCCAAGGCATTTAAGACCACATTCATTGAATTTGCCGTTCTCAACTCGTTCATCGCAATTGGATGCGTCTGTCGTCTATACAGAGTTGAATGGAACAAGGTCTTTTGACTATGCCAATGACTGTGAGCACCACAGATTGAGCGCTCGAGTCAAAACGATCATAGGTAACCGTAGCCTCATTCAGTATTTGCTTCAGCACTTCAACAATATAACTTTCTTCGCTTATTTCAGTAGTACGTAACATGCTGTGCGTCAATAGGAATGGGATAAGAAACTCGTCAGACTTAATTTCATAACGGGTAGCTAGCTCACCGATCCGAGTGGACGTAATAATGTAAAAGACTTTATAACGGTCTTGCTTCGTTGAGAAAGTGTGCCAGCAGTTTTTGTTGCATAGAAGCAAATGGTGATTGATCATTCTTGCCGCGTTGACGCCATTCAATTTTGCATGTTCACTTGAAATGTGACACATATGCAACCGGAGTGCCAGTGCAGCTAACGCTTCCGCTGTCGATATCGTTGATGTCAAGACATTGGCATGTCAACAACACAGCAACTTGATCTTGCCATTTACATGCTTGCTGAGGAGTGTCAAACCCATTATGAGAAAAGGAGTTAACAATCGAGTTGTAGAAGCCAAAGTACTACTACTCGTATGACAAGCCACAATATTGTTGTCTTGCAAGTTATCACAAATCTTTGCGTTTTCCCTACATTTATAATCACACAAGGCAAACAAGAGTGACGATTACATTGTGCATCACAACCATTACACTGAACGAGTAAGATCAAAAGTGCAAAGAGGAACAGTTGACATTCACACTATCAGCAGGTCAAACACAGACTTACAGCTTTCTTTGTCTTCTTCTTCTTCAATTTCTTAGCTTCCTTCTTGACCCGTTTTCTTTCTTTTTCGTTCTCTGTAACGTCACCAATACCAGATGTAGTTGTCATCGGTGCTTGGCTCTCTTGGGTCTTTGCTTTCTTCAGCTGCATCTCATCCCGTCGAAGTTTTCCATTGCAAGATCCATACGCTCTACGTCCAAAAAGTTTTCCACCTGTTGCAGCAAACAGCTCTTCATCTGTAGGAATTCGATATGTTTCTCCTTTATTCTCGTTTCGTTTTCTCTTATCTTTTTTCACCACTTTCTTCGTCTTCTTCTTTTCTTTGTCTAGATCCACTTCTTCCAATGATGTGTCGACTACAATCTTACTAGCCATGCGGTCATAAACATTGTACCACCATTGGTTCTGCTGTTCCTTCATTTCCTCTTTTTCCGCACCAACACCCTGTAGCTCCTCTCGCCGCTTTACCTTGACGTGCGATGTAATGCCTTGCTCATTCTTGCCCAGACCTTTGCCAGCAGACCAGCCCATCATCTCCATCTGACGACGTGCAAAGGTTGAAATCTCAGCCGCTGCATTTTCATTCGCTATACCACCTAGCTTTCTCATCATTTTCCGGCCTACAAGGGGCATAACGGCATCGCCAGTCATTTATTTTTTTCGTGAATGGAAAAGAATGACTGGATCACAAGAGAGAAGATGGGTTTTACACAAAAAAGAATCCAATTTATGAAATGTCGTGCATATGCTCAAAAATGCCAATTTGTCACCCGTGTGCGTGAGTGCGATTGTGAAAGTTGTTGATTAAGTCAGTGGTACTGGAGTACACACAAGAATACTACCTTAGCATTAAGAAGAAGATGTCAATACTATATACTATCAAGTCCTGAATATTTGCGTAAATACATAGTGGTTCAGGTAGTGGTTCGAGTCGTCAATCGTGCAACGAAGTCCGACGTGATGACAAGACAAAGCATCAAGACTTGAATGACAGAATAGTCGGACATATTTTGCCCCGTATGGATGTAGTATAAGTAATTCAGGGCAAGTAATGAAGCAACGTGTGGTGTCTAATGAATTGACAAAAGCTGTTAGTATTCGTTTGATTCGTATCACTTCGTTACAACTACTAATGTGTTGTCGTTGCAGTTTCGAAAACTATGAAAAGCTCCTTGTTTCATGAACTGCTGTAACATCAGTGTGTAGAGTTATGCAAATTCTTTAGTACACATAATTCCATTTGTGCAGTCGAAGGTAAATTGACGCAGCCAACATGATTTTGCTGAGACAAAGCGGTCTCTAAGTCGTCAATGGATGCAGGGTGGCACATTCTTGTGGGCCAGGACTTCGCCGTGAATCTTCGCTACGTACATGTATGATTTGGCATCATTGAGAAAGGTTTAATATTGCGATTATGGGCTCTCAGCGCCCTTAAAAACGTCTATAAGCAGTTTTTATCGAACAATTCCACTAATTCTGAACACGGCCACCACAAGATTAACCCTGGCTTTCTCTTTGCACCACGACCGGCAAGATCTGTGTCAGTTAGTCTCTACCCCGGTTGCGGAGAAAACACAGCGACAGAAGCACGCTGTACGATCGGATCAATACCCAGTGTGTAAATTATGTAGTCGACAAGAGGCAAGGACCGAAGACGACAACGGGCAAGGACCGAACGGCCGGATCAACTTCACCACGGAATCCCGCGAAGATCTATCCGATGAAAAACGTTGCGCTATCAAATACAAGTTGATCGTTTTGTTGGAAACATATCTTGCGCCTTAGCCCCGGCAACTGCCATGGCCCGGCGTCGACTACTTTTGCATTCTCGACGATTAATTAGCCACTAAAGAGCTGTGGAAACGGACCACATGGATCCGCCACCTGCAGGGCAAAAATCACTAATGAGTTGGTACTTTTAGTCGTTCATTCTTGTGGGCGGACAACCCGTAGATCTTAGGCCCGGACATTTCTAAGCTGCGGTCGTGTTATTACAACTGGCTTGCCAATGGCCTCATAAACACTTTTGACATCAGGCAAACGGGGCGGACAAAATACACCGTCACTCCACCATGCCCCCACGCCGCTCGCCACCCAAGCTACGCCGCTGGCAAATGCTGTTCTTCTGGTCTCGCCGCAGCTGGAGGCTGTGGTGTCTCTCAACGCAGCCAGTGTCCCCACGCTTTGGCAGCTCCGCCATTTACGCAAGCTTCTCTTCGGCTGGTCACCGCCCCGGGCGTGGTTGAAAGGAGCTCGACAGGACATCGGTCGCTGGCGACAGCTCCTGCTGCCTGCCGCAGACTAGCACTAGGATTTACTGGAAAATTGATGGAACATATCTTACGTGGAGGTGGAGTCCATCGAACTTCGTGTCATTTGCCGCGCCTCCAGCGGTTCCAACCGACAGCCTGTCGGTCTACGTTAACCGACTGGCGTGCGCTCATTGCAAACGGGACTTCAGCAAACCTTGAAGCGCTACCACTCACCATCTTGCAACCAAATATTGTCCGCGACGTACGGATGACGGCGCGGGAGGAAGTAACCTACTGCACTGAGACAGCCCGACACCTCGAAGTCGTCGTCAGACGCGACCACCACAGGGCGAAGCTGTCATCCGAGGCACCACTTTACACGTGCATCAAGATTACAATCTACTCACCAGGGTCCGCACATCTTACTGAGGAGTGTTCTGACACAACGTTGCGCCCTCCCGCACCGGCGTTTTACCTCGGCTATGGACGTTCCTGGAATTTTGTACTAAGCAGTAAATCGAGGCTCTTTCACGATATTCCTCTCGTCTCTCATAATCACGAAAGGAATATCGTATAAACTGCGAGGTCATATAATTTTGCTCATGTATATAATATTACCATGGTGTAAAGGGACATGTGAATGATTGTTTAGTAAGGCTAGCAAGATGAAGGCACCATCCGACACCTTTGTGTCTCCTCACGCCAAGTTGAGCACAAAGCCTTAACGAAATGGCGTGAAAAGTAACGAAGAAGCAAAGGATCGCGGTTAATGAGAGAGACACTAGGTTTAAAACGAAAAGAACACGGATTCAGATAAACCTTGACTGTGAAGCGTTGTAGCAGCATACGATCATGCTACGCTGTCATTTCCCGCACGGATGTCCATAATATACTTCAGCTTGTGCGGCGGTAGACTTAGGTAAGTCAATTATTGCCTTGTCTTTCTTGTACCGATCCCATGATGCACTATCTTTCCATCTTAAGATACGGAAAGAATCGACACTTCTGTTACCTAGTAAAATCGATGCAAGCAGGCACGGCGAACAGCATATGTATGTAATTGAGAAACCTCAAATAGACGTACGATGCGTTTAAGCCGAAATATTGTATTTTTCAAGAAGTTTTCAAACAACTCATTTCTTTTTAGCTTAACTAGAGCAGAACACAAACATTTGAATTGCACGCATTGCCACAAAAGTCCAAGGCATGCGGGCTTTCACGATTCTTGTCCTCACAGCAATAAAGCTGTTCGACAGTCATGCTGTTCCAGCGTTTGCCTCTGTGGCTATACCTAAAAGCCTTCAACAAACTTTTGATGTTACCGAAGCAAGTATAGAGCGGAACCTTCGATCTGACAGGACAACCGACGAGGAGATTGAGCAAGAAGAAAGGGGACCGCTCTCGACGTTTTTCAGCCTATTTTTTTCGAGTAAAAATAGAGCGCCGATCAACGAAGACATCCAGGTTGTGAGCAGATTAGATAGCAAACAAGCCAAACAAACAATAAAACAGGCATTTAAGGCTAAGGACTGGGAACAAGTAACTAATGAGTGGCTGAACCATAAGGAATATAAGGAAATTAATCCTGACATGGTGTGGAGAGCGCTCGGTTTGAAATCGTACAAGAAGCGAGGTCTTTATCGAAATTCTGGTTCTCCTTCGTCAGAATTATTATTTTGGCACGGATATAGTATCAGATACAGCGCTAAATATCCGGAATGGACGAGCAATATTTTGTGGAAACAGCGCACAGGCGAAGGAAATTGGAGAAAGGCTCATTTAGATGACAATGGTAGACCGATTATTAGAGCAGACGTCGCAATTGCAGCCAACACTCAAGTAGGAAGGGTGCAGGTAAAGTCGTACCTGCAAAAAGACGCCACCGGTGAGAACGTGATACAGCTTGGTTCTCTGGGACTCAAGCCACACAGAAAGCTATTGCTTGTTTTTTAATTTTTTACTGAATGATGAGTACGTGCAATGTAAGCTGGCAAACAGCGTTATCGTACTCTTTGCTTTTCCGGTCGATATGTGACGTTATACTAAAAATATACATTTACGCAAACTTGTCTCTTTCCTTTATGCTTTTGGTCAATCTCTTATTACTTACGATCTATGATAAGACCAAGGGTTCTACGCACAATTGGTTTCAACAAGATCTGAAATCTGTGGGCCGGAGTTGCAGTAGAGAATCCAAGATAGCATTACAGGTGGCAACTAGGAAGATCATTGCTAGCATAAATTCGATAGCTCACAGATTAGAGACAATTTATTCATCTTGCGTGGTTTATAGTTGTACAAAAATTGCTTTCTTGCTGTCTGCTTTGGTTAATTTGTAAGTGGACGTATTCAATCGTTGATATCTGTCAATTTGCAGTAGCACACGAATGGTGGAAGGTTTTTGACGATTGTAATGATTCCGTATGTGGCCCAGCTAATACGTCATCGTTGGCCCTGAAGAGGATCAAATTGAACCGCGACCGAGCAGGATACTTTCTTACGACCGTGACCAGGCCGAGGATCAAGCTACGTATGATGAGACTGAGGGCGGCAATAGTGCTAGCTCAGCTTGGCCAGTTTTGTCTAGTACCCCACCCCAGATTCGAAACATCACTCAGCTTGACAATACCACAATGCTGTCGCTTGTGAATGTGTCGTTCCAATACGAATTAGCCCCAGTAAATACTCAAGATGATGATAACAAGCCAAAACCACCACTCGTTGTGGAAAATCTCAAGTTCACAGCTAACTATGGGGACAAGGTGGTGCTTGTGGGTCGCAACAGTGCCGACAAGACAACGCTCATGAGGCTTTTAAGCAAAAGTTTAACACCTAATCATGGCCAGGTCGATTACTTTCATGAGCACGAGTTGCATCACAGATGCAGCATAACGTTGAAAATCTGAAGCGGCAGCAGTGGTCTCGAGATCTCGCCCCACTGGAACTGCTACGCACTGGACTTTAATCTGATGAAGCTTCTTTTCAGTTCGTGAAAAACGATGTGGTATGCACTGCCACTAACGCAAATGAAGGCAAAATCCGCAGTCATTTGAGTAGTTTGGCATTACTGGCAACACTGCTGTTTCGGTTCCGCTTCACGCACTTTCAGGGGGGCAATTGGTCCGAGTTGGGCTGGCATGGTCTACATTGCCGAACCCACCGCATGTGCTACTGTTAGATGAACCTACCAACCATTTGGACATGGTTACTATTGAAATGCTGAGGAAGGCGCTGCGAAAGTACCAAGGTGCCGTGGTGATAATTTCGCATGACTTGCATTTTTTGGATATTCTCACAAACCGGAGCAAACAAGAAGAGGCTGACGATGGCATTACAAGATGTGGTTGTGTACGTATCGTTGAAGTGATTAAGAAGAAAGGGCTAGTGTCCCTCTTACCACTTGAAGGAGTAGAAGCATATCGGGAAAAGGAGGAGCGTCGTAATGCCTCGCTTGGTCGCATGTAGTTCTGCCTGAGACTCTACAGCATTACGAACCCATTCTTGCAGTCAAGTACGATATCCGGCTAAGTCACGTGTCGATCGAAGCTTGTGATCTCAAATGATATTTTGAAGTCTGTGGTAATTTGGCGTGTTTGGGGAGGCTATAGTGAAGTGCTGGAGCCATATTGCATTTGCTAAAGAGTTCAAGCAAAACTTTGCATTTGTCGGCAAGAACTCAATGATTGACAAAATTGCCCATAATTCCAATTAGAAAGTAAGAAGTTGTCAATGTGTACTTGATAACTTGCAGCGCGTTGCTTCAGTTTCAAATAAACGCACGGCGAAATAGGTGTCAGACGTAATGCCAATTGTCTTGAAACATGCCCCTCACATCTGCATCGAAAGCAGTGTCAGTGCTAACGTGTATGCAGCTACAAGCCACGTATGAAACATAGCGCAATGCAAAGAAAAAAAATCATGAGTGAGTGAGGAACGACGAGAAGAAGAAAGCTGACCCTCATATCATCGAGGCTTCTTGTGCCAAACAGGACAAAACGCCTTCGTTACTTCTAAATAAATGACGTGTTACTCTCTACACCGTAAATTTGCCACCAATGCGAATACAATATTAAACCTGGCAGTCTATTAGTATCAATGCAAGTTACTTGGCTACTGACATATTCCAAACAATGACATAGGAGGAGCAGTAACTACTTCATTAGTATCCAGTCTCGTTTTTTTTATTGCTGACATGACATGGCTCGAGAGTATTATCGATTACAGCAACAACTATAGTAGAAAATGATTATATTACGTTATCTGAGAGACATTATACTAGACCTTTTTACAAATAAGTCGTTATCATATAAAATACCAAGCAAAAAGAACTCGTCAAATATTAATGGATCAAACACTCGACTCCAAACTCGAACTTTTCGACTTTGATTGCAACTTGACACACAAAGATCTTTGCCATAATGTCAAAGCGTTAATCCAACAAGCAAGAGCTGTTGGGGTCATGGAAATGGTCATACCTGGAGCTACAATTGAAGAGTCACAACAAGCTATTGAACTCTGTAGACAATATCCAACTCAATTATTTCCAACGGCTGGAGTACATCCATATAATGCTCGGATCATGCCAACAAAAGAGGAACTAACAAGGCTTCAAAGCTTGATCGAACTTGACAATGTTCGTGCAGTAGGAGAATGTGGATTAGACTACTCACTGAGTTTTCCAGCACCAGAGGTCCAGAAAAAATGGTTTGCTGAACAACTGGCAATGGCCTGTGCGTTGAAAAAGCCACTTTTCTTACACGAACGACTTGCACATGACGATTTTATCCAATTGATTGATGAAGCTATTATGAATTTTGATGGATATTTTCCACCAGCAGTTGTCCATTGTTTTACAGGGAATGAAGACGAACTGAAGGCGTACATTGCACGTGGCGACAACTGGTATATTGGCGTCACGGGTTTTATTTGCAAGAAACAAGGAGCGGCACTGAAACAATTGGTTAAACATGTGCCTCGACATCGACTCGTTCTTGAGACAGACGCACCGTATATGGGATTTCCCAATTGTCGACGTGCTGAGTCAAGTGAAAGTAAGAAACAGTATCCAAACGTGCCTAGTGCTATGCCCCTGGTAGCTGAAGCTGTTGCCTTTGCTCTCGATTGCTCACCAGAGGAAATTGCACGGATCACAAGAGCAAACGCACGCCGCTTTCTACGTCTATAAAGTGTTCATTCGACATAAATAGGCAAGGAGGAGGATCATATCTAGACAACAGACATGCATAACTCTATATTTGAAGGCGTTAAACTATTGTCACAGTTCACGAGCTTAGGCTGACCTGACACTTGCACTTACCACAGCACGTGAGGCAATAAAGATGGAAATTGTATTCGTTCCTCCATCATCATAACAACAGATATCTCTTAGTCCATAGATGGAATGTTGTTGAACGCAATAATGCTCTTCGTCTGCGTCATCTTCTCGTCGTTCCACTCTACCTTTTCATTTGGTTCTCCTTCAGTACTTTCACACTCACTATCTGTGCTGAGTATGCTACTAGTAGATGATAAGTGAGAAGACGTTGCTCTTGGCTTTGTACACTTGTAAACAGCCTCAAACGTATCGTCCTTGTCTCTCAACAGTCGACTGATAGTCTCAGCAACTGCTGCCACACTGTGGTTGTCATTTGACACTGCCAAGTCCCATGTAAACTTTTCGTAAAAGGCCAGCGTTTCTTCCATCCACTCGCGTTTGTGCTCATTAAGGCACAGCCGTTCCGGTTCTAATTGAAGCCGCGCACAGATGCGATGCCACAGTAGCTCACGTTCTACTTGTACATGGACTGTATAGAAGTGTACACCAGCACACTCTTGTACTTCTTTCATTTGTTCTCGTATAATAGGCTCCAGCAAGTGACCGTTGGCAGAGTAGAGCACGGCACTAAAGGGCGAGCGATCAGCAATAAAAACCTGTTTGGAACCAGGCTTCACATATCTTGCAAGGCGCAAGACACGCTCAAACCAAGAACAAACCCACGACGTCTCCATAAGAAGAGACTGTGGATGAAGTGCATACATTGGCATATCCACAAATGCTTCATTTAGAATGTCATAACCCTGTACTTGAAACTCTTTGCATAAAGTGGTTTTGCCACAACCTGAAGATTTTTTATTGCAATTTTTGTTGTGCATGAAGAAAAGGATACAATCAAAATGATTAAAGAAAGACCAAGTGGCGTTGGATAGTTCATGAAGAGAAACAAACATACCGTGGCAACCTTCTAATGCAACAACAACGACTTTAGCTGTAGGGTTCATAAGTATCACTCACTGGTCCAAAACGTGGTGATTCTTTCTTGTGTGTTGAGGTGCATATCTTTCAAAAAGACGCGCCAATTTTTATGTCATGAGGTTAGCTACACTCAAAAGATATTGGAAACAATTTGCGGAGTCGTATATTAACGATGGCATTGAATACAGATATTTCTTAGCTTGGTCTTTACCAAGTTGTCGTCGGCTTTTCTGTGCCTTTCGCGCCAAAATGATATTGTCAAATCCATATGGCGCGCATGGCTGACTGCTATGTATACCTTACCATGCTCCGGTGACAGCATAGATATCGATGTGTATAATACATACTAAACTATTACTTAAACATGTGACACACAATCATTCGGTTCTGTAGCCATCTATGTAATGTACCCATCAGATGCGTGTCAATTTTATAGTGTGCAAAAACAAAGCCAAATTTTACAATGGTCTTTTACGGCGCCGACTTTCAAGTGTCCAAATCTCCGGTGGCGTCTATCACGAACCAAGTTGCTGCAAAATCGACGGTAAACGATGCAGCTAGAAGGACATCAAATATACGTAATTTTGCTGCAGAGATAAAGCGACGTCTGGAGTCGCCAATGGGTCCAGGGTGGCACATTCTTGTAGGCAGGGACTTTGCCGTCGATCTTCGCTACGTACGCATATGTGTTTGTCATCACTGAGAAACGAATCATCGTTTTAAGCTATGAGATCTTACCTTTTGCTTGTATATGTTAATACTATAGCGCAAAGGAACATGTGTACTATTGTTTAGCAAGGCGAGCAAGATGAAGGTGTTGTTGTACCGCACGACACCTTCTGTGTCTCCCTCAACCTAAGTTGGAGCACGAAGCACTGACGAAGACGAGTGAAACACTTACTACGAAGCGAAAAGTCGTGATTTATGAAAGTAACGTGGGGTGCGAGATGAAGAACGTGGTGGTCGATAAGGTCACGCGACTCTACAACTTTTACGAAGGAGTTCAAGACAAAGAGGCCAAGATCGCTCAAGCTCTAAAGGTGAATCTAACTAGCTGTTTGTGTGAATGATAATACGAGAGTCTATGGTGAACCAATCAGTTTTTGCACTGTAACTAACCATATGCACTGATTGCTACAGCACTCGATGACGTTCACTTACGGTCGAACGTGGCAAATTATAGTGTCTTCATCATCTGAATTATGCTGTCTACCTATTTGTGACGAGGGCTCGCACGCGCATATGTCTGTAGCAAAGCTGCGAGTTGTGCTTTACCGTCATGCCGGCACCAGTTTTGACCGTCAGTTGGACTTTGCGCAGTTTGGCAAGCGTGTTGCCTTCGTTCTGGCTACGATATGTTTGCTGCTCTACAGCTTTCTGTCGCTTAGCTCGTCGGAGGCGATTCAACGTTGCAAGGAGAGTGAGAAGGGTGTTAATGAGGATATTATGGTAGATGGCGTTGTTTTTCCTGAAGGCTGCTTGGTCGAGGACGTCAAACGCGCGAATGATCACGCGTGGTGGAAGACTGCTGCAATTGTGGGCATGTCGGCATTCACGATGATTGCGTCGCTAATTCGCATGTACACCAAGTCGCTGACCGCAAAGGCCAAACGTTCATAAAGCAAATTGAACAGTGCTATGGTTTACACCTGCTTGGACGCGGGTGATATGGACGTGAACTGGAGAAGCTTGCTTTGTAATTAGAGTATTGTGCTTAGGTGCAGGATCCATTAAGCTAGCGATGATGACAAAGTGGTCAATTAGCGTCCGGACGTGACTGTCGATAATCGCACACTTTTGTTGTGATTGCATCGCAGGCGATATACCGATGAATGAATGGACTGCTGGTGGCAAATAAGTCGGCCAATGGAGTGATATATGCGCGAAGCATTGGCCGAGTGGTCGCCAACATTGCTTAGGAAGGGTAGATTACCCCTGATCATAGCGCAGAGTCGGCCGAACATAGTAAAGCAATCATTGCCGTGACATGGTGCAAAGAAGACTTGAACATTGACAGCAGCATTTCTTTAGACTAAAAGCACAAGCAGCCGCAACGGGTCTGGACCAACAGATCCAGCAAAAGATGAAGCCACGTAATTTTCTCAGCACGTATTACCACCGTGATCGGCAATTTGTTAACGTACATCAGCTCAATCTCATTCAGACCTAAGACGGCATTGCAGTTGATAAGGAAGTTATATGGCTCAAAAAGAAGATCATTGACGTCCACAATCTTGTATAGAATAGGTTCGACAGGCGTAGATATCGTGATTACCTCTCCCAATGTGTTGTCTTTCTGAGCTGCATTTGACGAAATATATATTGTATGGCCCACATCTTCGCAGCTTGTTGTCCATTTCCTGTTACATTGCATGGTATCGCAGCTTTTCTACTTCTTCGCTCCCTTTGTCCGTCCGTGTCGATCGTCCTTGAGCGCAACATTTCAGTCAAATTTCATATCACGAACGTCAACATGTAGTCGTTGCAAAATTGTATAATTGATAACAAACAGGTTGCCCTTGGACTGTCGGCGCTGCACCTATATTCTTTGCAACATTTATCTTGCCATTCTCTGCAAACTGAACTTTTTACAGCCGTTCATTACGCACAATAGTGAAGAGTCTGCATCTCTCATGGTCCATTATAATAATAAACGGTCTATCTCCAAAGAGATAGACACGATACTGTGCCGGTCATGGAAAGAAGAGACTTATCTTGCACCGAATGGTTACGTAAGCTACTCGCAGCTAACGCGATTGGTAGCATAGACGCCCTCTGCGCCGTCAATGTCATATTTTGCATCAGCGTGAACCGGTGGCAAAGCCACTCGCATCGCGAACCGATATTCATCGTAGTTGCGCGAGGACTTGTATAATTGATTATGCTGCAAAGTGAAGGCACTTACTTTCTCCAAATACGTTGACTGCCGTTGAGGGAATAAATAATAGGAATCGCTGCAGCAACTACAAAAACGACAGATTGAGACTTTGACAGACGTTGACCAAGATGATAGAGATCACAGTTTGTGCAGAACTTAGCAGTTCTCAGCAGCCTGCCAAACCGCTTTCTACATTTTCAGGCAGTGCACGCTCTTACTGAAAGTAGAAAAAGAAGCTGGGAACTCAAACTGCTAACCAATCCGTCAAGAACTAAACACGTAAGGCATTGCTGCTCTGGTATGACTGTTTCGTCAAACTCGACTCCAGCGCGATATGACGTGTGCCTTGAATACCTCACTACTAATTCTTTAATACCATCTTAGCCACGTAGATGGACACTTGTTCAATAAAACAAATCCTGCTGCTTGTCGTCTCATCATTAGCTCAAAATTCGACGGAGTCGCGGCGGTCAAAAGTGACAATATCCCCCCTGATCTGCCCTCTCGGCGTCATTGCACAATCATTCCCGCTGTTTTGCCGTTTAAAATCAAGACCACTTGACCCAAAACGCTCCGTGTCTTCAAAGCGGCCGGAAGAGTAGTCGCTGCCAATGGAGCGGCTGGAACCGTGTGTAAGGACGGCTCCAAGCACCGTTGACTTGACGCTTTTGAATGCCTCAAAATCAAGTGTTTCGTAGCTTTGACCACTATAGAGAGAAGAAGAAGGTGACAAGAGCAGCGAGTTTGACAACGCCGATGAGTTCAGAGACGAAACATTGCCTGCTACTAATCTTGAACGTCGTGTCGGTCCCCAAGCGTACGAATCCTCAGCTTTTGACGCTCCAGGCGCGACATAGGTACTCAATGGACCTCCTGTTTTACCTAGCAAATACGGGCGATCGGTCGGTCCCACACTAATGCGTGAAGACATTGTATCGTTCGTGTCCGTCCACCACACATCATTGATTCGAGACTGCATCGTACTTCCCAAAGCTTTAGATTCCACGTCAGCACTCGCTGGAGCTTCTGATGGACTGGGTGGTGATGTTCGTGTGTATGTTGCCACGACTACAGGCGCTGGGATCTGCTCAATAGCACCGTTGACAGCTGCCTGGTTTTGCAATCGAACTCCATTTTTCTGGTTGACTATCAAGCTCTTGGAAGCTAATGGAGACGTAACCGATATAAATGGAACTTCATCAGTATTCCCACCTGTCGGATACGGGTCATCAAATCGCATACTATCCGGGTACTGAGAGCTCGTATGGGCATCGTAGCCAAAGGTGCTGAGCGCCGTGAATTTGTCACTACGATTTGATGGACTATGAATTTGGCCAGCAATAGCATTTGCCACGTTGGTAATGCCTGGTACCACTTGACGTAACCCCGTCTGTAGAGAAGGGTACGGTATGACAAGTTGTCGGGTATGCAACTGTGAGGGTCCATTATTAGCATCTACTTGTGGTCCAAGTTTTTGGAGTTTGGTGGTGGCGTGAAAGGTACAATAGTAACCTGTTTCGAATAACCATAAGCAGCCGGTTGGTGTTCCTTTCTGAACCCATGATCGTTGGCAAATGTAACGTCTCGAGTCCGTTGAGCTTGTTGGTAGCGCTGCTGCTGCTGTTCTACGGCACGCTCGTGTTCCCTGTGTGAAGTCTTCCCAGGTCTGTACTGCAGCACGATTATCTTCGTTATCTTTACGCTTGGCACATTGCATGCATACGTAGTAGCAGACTAGCAACAAGAGGATGAGGAGTATTACGCAGCCGATGATCAACCACCAGAACCAGTCGTCCCATCCAAACACGCCGTTAAATACCGATTGGCCATTTACCATTGTGAAAAAGAAGAAGAAGGATGAAGGTTGCAGTGTTCTATCTGGAGAGAATCTACAAGTGGCAAGTGAGAAAAGAAGAAC